GAACTAGATCAGATTGGTTTAAAATAAATTAACTATTTGATTTATTTAATTTAGTCTAAATTTATTTTTTTTTCTAATTATCTCATTAAAACCCAATTGACAAATTTAACAAGAACAAGACGTTATCGTTGCTAACCATCTTGTCATTGGTCACCGTCATCGTTGGCAACTGAAATATTATTCCGTAATCTAGTGGTCAAAAGAGTCATAGTCAACACCTTCCCACTGGGCCTTAGTAGTCGTGATGACCTTCGTAGGGCAGGAGGCCATCATCATCATCTCGATGAGCGTTAGTGGCTGCAAGGTCCATTGTCGGGGCAGGAGATCAGGCTCACTTTTCCACTAAGCCTCGGTGGTCGCAATCAACATTATCGGGTAAGATGTCACCCTTAGTGTCACCAACAGTGCAGGAGGTCACTGTGGCCTTCCCACCAATAGAATATCCACCTTCCCCTTAGCTGTCTCTGTGGTTGATTGCTGAGCCTGGGTCATTGGTGGGCCAATAGAGTTATAGCCTAGTCATCATCTGCTATCAACAAAGCCTTACGGAGTCTCAGTGATCAATGGTTCATCGTTACAACCCCATTTAGTTTTTATATATCTTTTACTGAATCATGTATTAATGAAGTATTTATAATATCACGACATCATTCTTCGTAGTGTCATTGAAGTGCCATCTACATTGACCCATCGTTTAGTGCACCATCCAATCATTCACTGTAATAACAAAAAATGTATGATTGAGATGAATATGTATTTCTAGTTTAGTATTATTAGGCCAGAAGGAAAAAAATTACGATGATAGAATCAAGATATAATGACAAGATCCCTACAAGGTGTTCAATGTATCAACAATTATATCACAATCAATGGTTATGCAAATTTATGTATCAACAATTATATCACAATCAATGGTTATGCAAATTTACATTGGTTGTACAAGTTGACGTTATTGAATGTCGTATCTTCGATCTTTTTGTATAGTGTAGTTTTTGTTTTTTTTATTACTTACATTGGCTATAGAAGGCAATTTTTTATGCATAGAATACATATACAAGCATATCTATATAATTTTTTGGCAAATATGTCACAACTTTACGAAGCATTGTAATTTTTTGCTAATTTTGAATCTGAAGTTATTATTTTACAGTTAATGTTACAATCTTTGTTATATTTACATTTTAGTTGAATTGATGTTACCATTTTGCTAATTTTTGAAGTGGATTTTAATTTAGTTATGATATTCTTTAATTGAGTTATACTTGAGTTATGAATTAGATACAATTATGATTTAACTTTCCAATCACTAAGTATCAAATTCCATTAAATGCACTAAAATTATAAAAAAAAAATAATTTTAATTGTCTTTACAATCATGTCATAGCTGATAAGTTTCGATCAATTTGATTAAATTTAACTCTATTTATATTTATGTTACACTCAAGTTACACTTGATCATAGTGTAACATTACCCAGTTGCCATGATACTGTTAAGCAAACAATGATACTACCTATATCTAGTGGTCTACTGACTATGGGTGATGACATTGCCCCAGACCAAGGGATAGTATTGTCCAAAACTACAATACCCTTTTTGAATATTTTAAATTTATTTAAAAATCAGAAAAAAAAATAATATAATAATATTAGAATCATATTATGATAGTTATATAGAAGTTTAGATAGGCTTGATAAAATTTTTTTTGAGTTATACTCGAGTTATACTCGTGTTACACTCCAGATCACAGATTCAAAATGCAAATCTCCTATTTGGATAATTAATCATCTTAGAGTCAAAAGAAATTAGAACAAATGATACTAAACATACTACAATCATATTAGGATATTTATAGAAAAATTTTATTAAGTGAAAATATTTTGAATTACACTCAAGTTGTACTCGATCATACATACAAAACATAAATATCTTCTTTAGACAATTAGTCATCCTAAAATAAAAAAAATAGAAAAGGTGATACTAAATATACTAGAATCATATTATGAAAATTATAGAATAGTTTGGTTAGGTTTTGTAAAAATTTCTTGAGTCAGACTCTGTTACACTCAAGCTATACTCAAGTTACAAATTCAAAACAAAAATCCCCTATTTTGATAATTAATCATCATAAAATAAAAAATATATGAAAAATAATACTAAAGAATCATATTATGATGGTTATAAAGAAGTTTCAACATATTTAACGAAAATTTTTTGAGCTATGCTCGAGCTACTCATGATCATAGATTCAATCAAAAGCATCCTATTTGGACAATTAGCCACCATAAATTCAAACCAATTAGGATAAGTGATACTAAACTTATTAGATCATATTAGGATTGTTATAGGGAAATTTGGATAGGCTTGAGAAAGATTACTTGGGTTATACTCACATTACACTTGGCTTGCACTTGATCACAAATTCAACCCAAAGCACCATATTTCAAAAAGAAAACATTCTAAATTCGCACACAAGTGAGAACTATCACAACCACATATAATGAACTATAATAGAAATACTTATTCAATAATTACAAACTAAACACATGAAAACAACTCACAACAACACTAATCAAATTGCCAAGATGATATCATATATTGTTAAACAATTTATATAACAATAGAGTCCATCATTAGATGTTCCGCTACTTAACTCCATTATTTTAAAATCATTTAAATAACTTTCTCTTCCTAAAAAATTATAAGCTTTGTTTTAGGGCTAGATATAGTTTCAGCTTATGCTACTTACAGACTATTGACGGAGTAGCCCTTGATCAATTCTTGGATGTCACATAATGCACTGTGGAAGAATGGATTGGATCCAAATGAATAATCCTCTACGCCTAGGGTCACAAGATGGCAAAGTCAATGATCTTCGAGTATCTTTTATAATAATTTAATTTAATTTTCGTTCTTTCTACACTTGGCATATTCTTGATCTTTACCAACATATGTCATATATATAGTTTAATATATTAAATAATATATCTTAAATATATAAATAAAAATTTTAAATTATTATATATCAATAATATTAAGCGACAGTTGATGAGACTCAATAGTGGTTAGGGTGAGCACTTAATATATCTGCATAACATGCATATATAATAGTTATAAAGAATATGTCTATATTTCCAAATGAACTCCTAAGTTAATAATTATCTTATTTTCAATTATTTACTATAATCTTAAGTCGATAATATTCTAATTACTAACAAACCTTATCTCTATAGTCATGGATGATTAGAATAATGGGATGACATAAACATATCAACATGCTCATATAGCCATACCTATCAAAAAATTAGCAAAATTAAGAATTAAAACTAATATGTATTGACCTTTTCATATGTACATAGAAAAATAATATTCGACTTATAATCAAAAGCGGTGTACGACCTCTCAAATATTCAATCATCGTGGTGCCACCCTCAAGCTTCAACTTCTTTATACAAATACCCATAGTGGAAATCTTAATGACAAAGTAAGAATATAAAGTCATCTCCCAGTTATAGTTTGTAAACGAATTCAAATCATCAACATAAGATAATAACAACATGAAGGATGAAGTATAGTTTGTTTGACGAAAAAATAAAAATATGTAAAATATATAATCAACAAAAGTCAGCAATGCCAATATAATTATCACTAGACACCAACCTATACATCATATCTATATTTTATCTATTAGGAAGCTGATCTCTAAAGTATTTCTCAAATATATAACCCAAACTTGTTACTTCATCATCTAGAACTTATCTACAATCGGGAACCCCCAAATCATAGTAACATTGCTCAGCCTAAACTTAATTGGGACAATGCCAAAAGTAAAAGTGGATCCCTCTTTCCAATACTATAAAATACTATATAGAGTATATCAACACATAGAATTGTTAGAAATATTTATTATACGATAAAAATGTGTCCTCATAAGAACATGAAGATGACACAGCTTAGGGGAAATATATATAATGTGACATCGATTCCTACAAGTAGATTAACGGACAAAACATTTAAAATGGTCGATGTAACAATGATTATTAATTATATATTACAGAGGAGGTGACGTAGTTGAGGAAACATAGGGGTGGCGACTAAAGGGGTGACATAGGAGGCGGTAATGTAGGACTGGATGACAATGCTTCTCTTGAATACTTCCACTAAGTTTACTAATATAGACCCACGACGTTGACATCTCAATAACAAAAAATTTACCAATAAAAATCTTCTTTTAGTTTTAGATTATCAATCTTCTCTTGTTTTATCAAAAACTGACTAAGCCCTTACATAGTATGAAAACCTGTAAGGAATGTCAATAAGATTAGCACACATACTTGCATCAATGAGACAAACTAGTTTTTAAAAAAATTTGTTTTAAAGGAGAAGTTTATCGTCGGAGAGGAGAGGATGTCGTCATCGACAAAGACATTGTTGTTGGTATCCAAAGAGGTAATGAGGTCGCTACCGATGTGAATATCAGATAGGAGCATAGGAGTACTCCATCGAAGAGAAGCAAAAGAGTTTGTCATTACTACTGAGAGGAGGATGCCATAGCTATTCATAAATATCAAAGAGGAGCAGAGAAATTATAGCGGAGATGTCATCGCTTTTCACAAATACTGGAGAGAAATATAGGACTTTGTCATTATCATTCTTTGTCAGAGACTGCAGAGGAATTTGTAGCCATTAGAGAGAGGATGCCGCCGCTATAGAGGAGCAAAGGAGGGAGAGGATCGCTAATCATTGCCAATTACACTGGTATGGTGCAACCATCATATAAATCATTTGATTCAAACTTGACTTAATTTGCTTTGCAAGATCCAACCCGAATCCATTTGAACTAGACCACAATCATGACCGAACCGAACCAGCCCTTCCATTGGTCAGATTTGAATTAGGCTTCTCAATTGAATAAAAAGGATCAAACCAATTTTGGGAGTATTTTTGATATTTTAAATAAAACGGTGCCCAGTTAAAAACCAAATACAAAGGCGCTATTAAACCTTTATTATTAAAGATTTTTCTGAATAATTTATCCTCGAAAGAATCTAATTTGAAATTTATATTTAATATGTTGGATTGAGTGATGTGCAGGTGGTCACCGTCCGCAAGGTTTCACAGCAAAAACGGTAAAAGAAAAATGGCCGATTCGGAGGGAATCACCAAGCACCACGCCCTCTTCGTGACCGTGCCCTTCCAAGGCCACTTCACGCCGGCCGCCAACTTCGCTGTCAAGCTCGCCGCCAGGGGCTTCATCGTCACCTTCGTCACCACTGAGGGGTTCCACCACCAGCGCGCCGCATCCGGTGCCGTGTCCGTTGACGGCCACGAGGTCTTCGCCGACGCCCGCTCGATGGGCATGGACATCCGCTCCGAGCTCGTGAGCGACGGCCTGCCCGTGTCCTTCGATAGGACCTTGCATCGGGATCAATTCTCCGATGCCTTCTACCACCTGCTCCCCTCCCATGTCGAAGAGCTGATGCGGAAGCTCCTGCTCGCGGAGCCCCCTATCGACGTCCTCATCTCCGACACCTTCAACGTGTGGCCTTCGACCTTGGCCAAGAAGTTTGGGCTGCCTTATGTCTCCTTCTGGACCGAGGCGGCGCTTGTCTTCGCCATCTACTACCACGTGCACCTCCTCGTCGAATATGGCCACTTTGGTTCTCCTACAGGTTGGTATACATCCTTTGCGACGAACACTCACCTTCGTGATGGATCGATCGACCTTCATGTTTTTTCATGGTGACCGAACAGAGACTCGCAAGGATGCCATCATGTACATACCCGGCGTGCCGTCCATCGAGCCGACGGACCTCGTGTCGTTCTTTCACTCGCCGGAGGCGTCATGGCGGGTGCTCAGGAACGTCGGTAAGGCATTCGAGGAGGCCAAGGGGGCCGACTTCGTGCTGTGCAACACGGTGCAGGAGCTCGAAGCAGAGGTCATCGGGGCGCTGCAGCAGGAGCGGCCATTTTACGCCGTAGGGCCCATCGTTCCTGCCTCCGGCGAAGGCGGGGCAGCGACCAGCCTATGGCCCGAGCTGGATTGCTCGCAGTGGCTCCACTCCATGCCACCGCGCTCCGTGCTCTATATTTCGTTCGGAAGCATCGCCCGGGTTAGCAAGAGGGACATGGACGAGATCGCCTACGGAGTCCTCGGCAGCAAATTCAGCTTCATATGGGTGATTCGGCCAGGAAGCGGAAGCTCGGAGGCCAGCCCACTTCCCGAGGGGTTCATCGATGCATGCAAAGGGAGGGGGATGGTGGTGCCGTGGTGCCGTCAGAAGCAAGTCCTGCTGCACCCGGCGGTGGGCGGATTCCTGACGCACTGCGGGTGGAACTCGATCCTGGAGAGCATGTGGTGCGGGGTGCCGATGCTGTGCTTCCCGGTGAGAGCGGACCAGCCAACGAACCGGAAGCTGGTGGTGGAGGACCTGAGGATAGGGATCGACGTCGGAAGCATCGGTGAGGTGAGGGGAGCGGAAGTGTCGAGGAGAATCGACAGCCTGATGGGAGAAGTAGGCGGTGCGCTGAGGAAGGAGATGGAGGGAGCTCAGAAGGCGGTCAAGAGTGCGGTGACTCCGACTGGTTCGTCAAGCAAGAACTTGGAGCAGTTTACTGCGGATCTGCTGAAACATCTGTCGGATAAGAAGCGAGAGCGATGATGGTGTTGGTGTTGGTGTGATGTACAAAGGAAAATGTTCCTAACTTTTTACTGCATCTGAAACACTAATTTGGATGTTTGATTGTTGAGGAGGCGAGTGGTTCTCAAAGGCTGTTTGATTGTTTCCGATGAAACCAAATCCCATTTTTTTTGGACGTCACTTCATTTATTTAGCTAGATTGTGGTACCCATGTGTGATGAAGATTCGAAGAGGCCTAATGTATAGTCTCATGTAACTTTCATCACATATTCCGCTCAATGAGCATCCAAAATGTTCAACCCAAGTTAACAATAATACCAGCGCATTGGATCTATGTGTCAATTGGGTTGGAACAAATATGGCATTGGTCAACGATAGAGTTTGGCTTGCCTCACTATTCACTTACAACCTTGGTAAAAAGGAAAGGACACGTTCATCAAGTTCCTTGTTGGATCTATGGGAAGTTAGACATGGATGATTTCATGGAGTAACCATCATCACCTCCTTGTACCTATTTTGATGGATGAGGACGAAGGACCTATGGGTCTCTTTTCCCAGTCAACATCAACGTCTTGGCTTTTTTCCCAGCCGAAACTGTGGGGTTATGATCATACAAATGCAATAAAGATGTAATCTTTTCCCAACCAACATTGTGGGGTTATGATCTTACAAATTGCAATAAAGAGGTAATATCTATCTTTGTTTAGTCAACATCAACGTCTTGCACAATTCCAAGTGTCCCGTATGCTTCATATGATGACAAGAATTCTTCTACTTTGTTGTACATTCGTGTTTTCTCTTTTGTTTTTTGGTGTCAAAATTAGCATGCAATAGTAGAGGAAGCAGCAGACGCCAGAATCTAAGCACCGGTGTAGAGTTAACGGCACAAGGAAGGCAATTAATTCTTCATCAACAAAACAGGCCAAAAATGAAATGCAATCGAGCACGGCATGAGATGTTCGCGAGAGGATTAGCTACAGTTGTATTTTAGGTTTAACCAGAAGAAAAAAATGAAAGAAAAATACACTACTTATTAAATCAAAAACAAAATAAATCCTATCGTATCCTTTCC